GGTCGCTGATCAGCACGTTGGTTCGCCATGCCGCCCGTCGGGGCGGAGTGGGACATCATGACCCGCTGACAACGCTAGGGCATGGCGTCATCGGTGGACAGGCACCTGGCGTGGAGTTGTCCCTATGACCACCTGCCGTGTCAACAGGGCCCACACAAGGGAAAGGAAAGGCCCAGTGACCCGGAAGGACTTCCTCTCCCTCTCGTTCTCCTCTTTTTCTCCCATTGTAACTTGTGCTTTCCCTTGGCCTATAAAAGGGAAAGCAGGACGTCCCATTAAGGGGCATCACACATGATCACATCACACCGCATCAGATCAAAACCACTAGCATCAAACCTCAAATACATGGCTGGGCAGTGGCCGAGCTCTCGGCACCCATTCATTCTTTCCACCAGAGACTTGGGACCTGCCCATCTCTCGCCCATTTGTAACCTATACTATGAACTTTTTAGTGCTAGTAACATGAGCAGCAGCAATGAACTGGATGTAGGGATATTTTGCCCGAACCAGTATAAACCTCGTGTCCTCTTAGCACACAATCCGAGCCAGATGCACAATATTAGAAATTTACTCATTGGTGTTTACTCAAAACAATGATAGTTGGCGTGCCATGTAGGGGCCTTTTGCGCGTTTCGACATCCACACCAAGCCTCGGATGGCTAATCGCAATGTCAGCTGGATCCTAGGTGCGCACGTGCACTTTTGGGACATGGACTTCATCACCACGACAGAAGGAGAGTTAGCGCAGGCTCCCGCCGCCGTCTAACCTCTCCACTCCACCAGCCTTGGCACAATCGCCGAGGTGCTAGAGGAGCTATAGCTGCACGCACCGGTGGCCCACGCCACCGGAAGCGACTAGCTCCTCCACTTCGACTACGGGAGGCTAGAGCGCCAGCTCAGCGCCTTCCTAGGACCCCGACCGTCCCGGTAGGACCTACGCCACCTCACTTTTTCGTTCGCCAACATCATGACGTGGCTTGCTGGAGGAGAGCTGCTCTCTCCGGATTACCTTGTCCGAAGCGCCCTGACAGCGTTCCCGTGCAGGCCGCGTACCATGGTTCCGGTGCATGAGCGTCTCATCCCCCACCGTGATGCACGCAACACCCTCGATGTCCGCAGGTGTAACACGCCCTCAAAACAACTTGACGAGTATGTGTCGATCCACCAGGCGTAGCAAGGCGGTAGGCCATGCACCGCGGTTCCGGTGCATGGGCGTCTCGGCCTCCACCGCGACGCACGCGACATCCTCGATGCCCGCAGGCGTACCTATGGTGATGCGCGGGAGGGGGCTAGCCACGGCTACCACCCATGTCGTGGCGGACGCTACGACAGCGGCGAGGACCGAAGCCCGAGCCCCAGCTTGCCGGGACCTCCGGTCTTTGGCTGACACATCCTCAAGGGCAAGGCAAAGCAGGATGAGGATGCTGGCGAAGGCGCCTCCAACCATCCCGACAAGAAGAAGAACAACAGTGACGCGAGGGCTCGCTCGTGGCCATAGCCGACCATAATGGAGGACAGAAACCCACCAAGGGCACCACGAACCACTTCGAGAGGCTGCTCGAAGGGCCATGCCCGAACCATGCTTTCCCCGTCGAGCACCTATACAAGGACTATGGCCTCTTAAAGCGGTTCTTGTCTAGGGGCATCAACAGAGAAGAGCACATGAAGGAGACCAGCTAGATGAAGCATGCAACGTCGCCCTCCTCCGCTCGGCCAAGTACCAGCAAGCGTTGCGCCGGTACCACGGCCGTCGAGTGCGAGGTCAGGCCTTCAACGTCGGGGACCTGCCGCTCCGCTTCGTCCAAAACAACAAGAACCGCCACAAGTTCTCTCCACCATAGGAGGGACCGCACGTCATCATAGGGGTGCTCCGACCATGCGCCCACAAGCACAAGGCCATCGACGGTGAAGTTTTCATCAATGCCTATAACATGGAGCAGCTACATCACTTTCTGCCCTTAATATACACATACTTTCTCTTATCAGTTTCGTTATCAACGCCCCGATCTTTTGGTGATGCCTGACCCCAGCAACGACGGGGGGTCAGGCCTCACTCAAGGGCTAATAAGAGCGTACCTCTCTGGTAAACATTCTCTATGCCCGACCTTCTCTCATGTTAAGACCCAGAAGCGACATTTGAGGAAACAAACGCTGAGTAAAACTGGTCGGACTGCGAGAAACCTACACCCCCGATGGCTATGACGCCTTTGCTCACCAGTGTGATCAGAGTTTTTTTTCTGTACCCCAGGCTTTTTGGCCTTAACTATGGCAAGAGTCGGTGCGCATCTAAGAGTATATCCACCTGGCAAATGTTTCTCTATGTCTGACCCCGTCTCATGTTAAGACCTATGAGCTAGGGTTGCGGGAACAAACTCTAAGTATAACTGGTTGGACTGCGAGAAACCTACGCCCCAGCAGCTATGGCGCCTTTGCTCATCAGCGTGATATGAGTCCGTTCACCCGCACCCCAAGCTTCATGGCCTCAACGACGGAAAGGGTCAAAACACACTAACCTTTTTATACGAAAAAGGGGAGAAGGGCTAAAAACTATTTGGCAAGAACGAAAATTAAGAGCTTGTCTATTTATTACAAGTTCACCGCCTGGCTTATCTACCTAACTAAATTCTTGCGCGGGATGTTCTCATCCCCTGTCTCTGTAGGTAAGTCCTACCCCAGCAGGTAACACAAGCCAACCCCGTCACTAACGATGGAACTGGATTTCACTCGAACATGTCTGGTAAGAGCACCCCAAACCCGTCACTCGTGCCATCAAGGTATGACCTGCGCTAGCAGGTCGCCCTTTATTTTACGCATGTTTTCTCTTATCAATTTTGCTATGAGCCCCCGACCCCAGCAACGGCAAGGGGTCGGGTCACGCTCAAGGGCTGGCAAGGGTGTCTATTCGGTAGATATCCTAGATGCCTGACCCCTCTCTCGTGATAAACCTAAAGGCAAGGTGTGCGGAAACAAACTCTGAGTGAAACTGGTCGGACCGCTAGAAACCTACGCCCCAGTGGCTACGGCATTCTGCTCACCAGCGTGATCAGAGTTTTTGTCTCCGCACCTCGAGCTTTGGCCTCCGCATTCCCGGGAAGGGATCGGAGGAGCCCCCTGTGGAATCTCCACCAAGGAGGGGCTAGTGGGCCACCCAAATCAATCGAGCGATTCGGGTCGCTGCCAAGAGATGGGTCACCTTTACTTTATGCACATTTATTTTGCTATCGAGCCCCCGACCCCAGCAATGGCAAGGGATCGGGCCTTGCTCGGGGGGTGGCAGGAATGTCTATTCGGTCAGACACTCTCTATGCCCGACCCCTCCTCATGTTAAAAAACTAGAGGCAAGGTATGCAGAGACAAACACTGAGTGAAACTGGTTTGACCGCAAGAAACCTACGCCCCAGTCGCTATGGCGTTATTTGCTCACCAGTGTGATCAGAGTTTTTGTCCCCGCATCCCAAGCTTTAGCCTCCACCTTCCCCGGAAGGATTTGGAGAGGCTCACACCTGTAGAGTCTCCATCAAGGAGAGGTCGGCAGGTCGCCCGAGGCCGATCGGACGGCTCGGGTCACGGCCGAGATACGGGCAAAGGGCAGTGGGATACCTCATGCAGGTTACGCCGACTCCATCACGAACAATGGACCTAGACCCCATATGGACATATCCGGTAAGAGCTCCCCGAACCCGTCACTCGAGCCATCGAGGTAACTTTACCAACTCCCGCTTTACTTCTATAATATATGAGCATTCATTCATCCATTCTCATGCACGCATTCTTACATTCATTCATTCAGTCATACATTCATTCATACATCGAAGCATTGCATATGCATTCATACATTCATTCATATACGCATTCATACATACATTCATTCAGTCATACATTGATCACACATTCATTCATACATTCACGAAGCGGTAGCCATCTCATTCAACATGAGCGGCAACCGACCGAGATTTGAAGGCCGGCCCGCAAAGGGCTTGAGGCCATCTCGCGTCAAATAGAGCCAGGGGAGAAAACCTTAGATGAGCCCTAGCGGCCTTGCTCGACCTCGCTCAGAAGCGGACAGGGACATCTAGACCTTTCTCGTTTAATCCTAACCTCGAGCCAAGCCCACAGAATCTCCATCGAGGAGAGGCTAGCGGGCCACCTGAGTCGCTCCGAAGTGACACGGGCATCTGCCGGGAGGCGGGTTAAGGAGCAGTGGAATGCCACATGAGGGCTATGCCGACCTTGTCGGCAGATGACGGACCCGAATTCCACTCGGACATGCCCGTTAGTGAGCTCACCGAGCACAACACACGAGTCATCGAGGCAAGTGTCATTAGCTCAGCCCCTCCGGTTGTGGAAACCAAGGATGGGGTGACGCATGAAATCTGGTCGACCCCTAGTGATCCCCACGGGGCTCGGGGGCTCGAGCCGCCCGACCCTAAATCGGGAGACTAGGGTTCGAAGGCTAGCCCGCGAAGGGCTCGAGGCCGCCTCGCGTCAAACAGAGCCAGGGGAGAAAAACTTAGATGAGCCGCAGCGGCCTTGCTCGACCCCACTCAGAAGCGGACAGGGACATCTAGACATTTCTCCTTCGATCCTAACCTCGAGCCAAGCCCACAGAATCTCCATCGAGGAGAGGCCAGCGGGCCACCTGAGTCACTCCGAAGTGATACGGGCATCTACCGGGAGGCGGATTAAGGAGCAGTGGAATGCCATATGAGGGCTATGCTGACCCCGTCGGCGGATGACGGACCCGGATTCCACTCGGACGTGACCGTTAGCGAGCTCACCGAGCGCGACACTCGAGCCATCAAGGCAAGTGTCGTTAGCTCAGCTCCTCCGGTTGCGAAAACCGAGGACAGAGTGACGCATGAAATCTGGTGCATGTCCAACGTGATACAACATACATGCTATGGAGCCATCGAGGACGTTACCTAGCTTGTGCAGTGGACCAGTGGTGCATGTCCAACGTGATGCAGCATGCATGCCGCAGACCCCAGAACAACGTTTGATCAGATGTCCTGCAGGGCGACTTCAGGGAGCTGCACTGGGTAGCGGTGGATGCAGTCGGCCCACGGCCCGTCGGAGTCGATGGCGGCCTTGAGGCACTCCCACGCGACGCTGCTGCAATTGAAGCCGGAGCCGAAGGATATCATCCACACGTGGTCTCCCTTCCTCATGCAGCCCTTGGCCTCGATGTAGGCCAGCTCGTACAGCACCGAACTTCTCGACGTGTTCCCGAACCGGTGTAGCGTCATCCGCGAGGCCTCCACGTTCTCGTCGGAGAGGCCGAGGCCGCGCTGCACCTCGTCGATGACCCCACGCCCGCCGGCGTGGATGCAGAAGTGCTCGAACGCCGTGTGGAAGTCCAGGCGGTACAGCCTCACCTTGGCGCCCCAGCAGCTGAGGAGCTTCCGCTTGAGAAGCGACAGCGCCACCAGGAGCTGCTCCGAGACCGGCAGGACGAGGGGGCCGAAGGCCATGATGTTCCTCTTGAGCGCCTGGCCGGCGGTGGTGGTGAGGTCCTTGGAGAGACGGACGCCGAGGATGCCCTTGCCGTCTTCCTCCTGGAATATGCAGTGGTAGTCGGCGTCCCGTGCGGCGGTCATCCTGCGGACGATGCGGCCGAGCCTGAACCGCGCGCGCTCGGGCAAGTTGGAGAGGATCGTGGCGGCGGCGCCCATGCGGAAGAGGCAGTTGGGTAGCAGCATCGCGCGCTCGCTGCCGATGTAGTACTGCGACGAGAGGATCTCCGTGGACACGGTCAGGACGTGCGTGCCCGGCGGCGCCACCTGGAGGAGGTGCCTGGCCAGGCCGATGTTGACGAGCCCCGCGCCGCAGCCCATCCCGGACAGGTTCAGGCTCTGCACGTCCGGACGCAGCTTGTACCTGTTGACGACCATGTCGACGAACACCGGCGTGGGCGTGAAGATGCTGCAGTTGACAATGAGCACGTCGATCTCCTCGGGCCTCACGCTCGTCCTAGCGAACACCTCGTCCACGGCGGAGAAGATGACATCCTGGGTCTCCTCCCGGGCCGCGTCAAGGCTACGGTCCGCGGTCAAGCAGCCGGATTGAGAAGCTGACGCTCTCCGGGTCGACCTGGTACGGCAGGTAGTGGGCGTGCTCCAGGCACGTGGCGAACGGCGCCCGGAAGCAGGGCTTGGGGCGGAAGCAGCCGGCAGGTGCAGGCGCCTCAGCTGTGCCCAAGGTTTCATTTTCAGAAATTAAAATTTATCGGGGTCATAGATAAAGAGGATAAACAGGATATATCGGAAATATCGGACCAAATTCAATTTGAATTTGAATTTAAGTAAATTTAAATAAATTTAAACAAAATTTGTACGAAAAAGATAGATATTTCCTTATCGGCACCTACGGATAAAGAGGATATATCGGAAATATCATGAGATTTCGGCCGATATTGGAAACCATGGCTGTGCCACGCCAGCAGTCAGGATGACCGCCGTGAGGATGCGGACCGGCGGCACGGCACGTAGGCTGCCGGCGAGATCGTCGATGCTGACTGGCCATGCCCGCCGGAGCGCGGCAGCTACAAATGCCACCGACACCATGGTGAGGAAATTGTCCACAAAGAGCTGGTACCAAGTCTTGAGGTTGAGGAGCATGGCCATTGTCATGCGTCTATGCATGGTGGTGGCTAAGTCAGGTTTGGTGTATGTGAGAGTGAGTGAGAATGTGAGAGTGAGTGAGATGAAGATGGAAGTGTGCTACCTTTATTTCGAGGGCTCGATCGAGGGCATTAATATTGCAGGGAGTTTGGATGGCTGGACGGTTCGGTCTCAAATTACAATTCAACTACGTGCGTATACTATACTACGGAGTAACAAAACTCAGCTGTAAAGTAGCAGTGTCACGTGATTTGCCTTAAACCGCCGCCGCTCAACTGCTCAAGCATAAACAGAGAAAACCGTATGGGCCACTGTTCTCGTTTGATGATGAATGATTCATTCACTGGTAAAGATTGCGTGCGTGTTCAAGTAGCTGCTGTTTGTCGGTTACGTGTAGATCTACAAAGAACACAGCCTTCATTCTTTCGTGATGACTGTTCCATACTCCGTACGTACTACAATACCTGGAGTGTCCCCTGGCAGGGCAATGGATGTACTGTTGACGCGTTTCGTTGGGACAACTCGCAACTATCGCTCGTCGTTATTTGCATTGGGTGCTCCAGTACCGTTCGTAAGAAGCACGGTCTAGAGCTACTGTAGCTGCTTAATTTCGTCTTGAAGCCGGAAGATGGCCACCCACGTTGAGCTCACATGCACGCTGCCAGCCGTTGCCGTGCTGCTTCCCAGCCAAGATGCGCTGGCCGACCCGGAGGGGCGAACTTAACACAGCTGCTGCCCGGACCGACGCCCTACACGCCAGTGCAACGCCATGGCCGATGCCTCTGGCCTTTGGTTCCAGGGACTAATATGTTTGGTTTTAGGGATTAAAAGGGACTAAAGGGCTAAACAGAGACTAAAATATCCTTCTTCCTTTAGATAGAGGTGAAGGAGGAGAGAGAGGAAGGGATATGGACTGTAAAGTTAATCCATTAGTCCTAAAAAGCTTCTTTCAAGGGACTAGTGGACTAAAGACTGAAATTCCCTTTAATAGTTCTTCCTATTTGATTAAAAGAGGTTAAAAGAAACTAAAAGTAGTCTGTGGTCTCATGGAACCAAACAGGCCCTCCGTCTCGCGGAAAGAAGAGATGACAGCAGCCACCAATCAACATGATCATGTTATCATACACTGAAGGATACGGTATGGAAAATCCTATCCTATGTGTTCTGCTGCTTTCCTTGCATGCCCTCATCTAACTCTACCATGTACTCCATCCATCCTAAATTGTAAGACGTTTGACTTTTTGTCCTAAGTTTGACTACTCGTCTTATTTAAAAAATTTATGCAAATATAGTCAAATTTAAGTCATTCTTGAAGAATTTTTATTAATAAACCAAACCACGACGAAAGAAGTGATATTTTACACAATTTTTTGAATAAGACGAGTGGTCAAACTTGGTGTCAAAAAAAGTCAAACGTTCTATAATTTGGGATGAATTGAGTACTGTATTAAGTTCAGTACCAAATTAATTGTTATATTTTAATATTTGACTTCATATTGTAATAATGCAAAGGTGTGGTATTTAATTAACATTATTTCTGTACCATTGTTGCACTACAACATGAAATTTGAACTATTAAAGTACTCCCTCCGGTTCTCTAAAGCAAGTTATTTTGGACATCGACATGGTCTTTAAGAAACAACTTTGACTGCAACTTTTTGCTATAAAATATTTATAAAATATAGTCAATATATACTTTTTTGAAACTACATTTCGAGATGAATCTACTTACATCACTTTCATATTTTTAAACTCAACCCCAAAAAGTTATTTGTAGTCAAAGTTTAAAATATTTGACTTAAGACAATCTCAAAACGACTTGCTTCAGAGAACCGGAGGGAGTACGTATTACTATTCTTGTACCAATATTTGCATGATCTCTTTGAACTATCGAATATGTATCTCCTGTTCTCCTTGCTTGATAATTCACTAAAGCTAACATGTTCGCGCCTTTTATATCCGTAGCAGATTCTGCTTGTTCTTGCTTCGTTAGTTTTGTAGTGACGTAATCTACATGTTAGTATCAATGCTCGTCCTATCATATGCTATGAATTTTATAATTTAAATATTAATTTGATTAATTTGCATGTAACTAGTTTTCTAATTTAAAAACAATATAGGTGTTACACTTTGATACTTTATATATGCAAATATTAATATGGTTTAATTACTATCACCAATGTGCTTTAAAATTATAACTTGTTTAGTTTGAAATCCACTCCATATGTAGTTCGAGTAGGTGCTCTCAAAGTCCTTTAGTTTTGCAAAGATAAGATTTGACTTACTTAAATTATACGATAATATATGTTAATCCAATGACCAGTCTTGACTCAGCTTTTGAATTAAAATATATTTTGGCTAATGTGAATTAATACCTTCACATGGTTTTGCTTAACTATAATAAGTCAAACGTGTATGCTTTTCTTTTCTTTTCTTTATAATATACTATAGACTTCTGGTAGCCATTTCTTTTTAGTGGTAATATCGTTCGCGTTTCTTGTGTTCTGGTGACCTTAGCAACTAGATCTCTTTTAGTACATTGTTTTAACTGCTTTTGCCTCAAGTGGTGTGCTACTCTCAATTGTTTCTATTTGTTTGCTGGTGTGCTTGGTTGCTATGATCTATGAGTAGAATAAAATCAGTCTGTGAGCGTTGAAGACCAGAAGGCATTGACTATATGCTAGTTTATGAGGAAGCTTGAGCAAGCTTAAAAGGCAAGTGTAATATGAGCTACCTTAGCTACCTTTATTGAGCAAGCTTAATATGAAGATGGAAGTGTGCTACCTTTATTTCGAGGGCTCGATCGAGGGCATTAATATTGCAGGGAGTTTGGATGGCTGGACGGTTCGGTCTCAAATTACAATTCAACTACGTGCGTATACTATACTACGGAGTAACAAAACTCAGCTGTAAAGTAGCAGTGTCACGTGATTTGCCTTAAACCGCCGCCGCTCAACTGCTCAAGCATAAACAGAGAAAACCGTATGGGCCACTGTTCTCGTTTGATGATGAATGATTCATTCACTGGTAAAGATTGCGTGCGTGTTCAAGTAGCTGCTGTTTGTCGGTTACGTGTAGATCTACAAAGAACACAGCCTTCATTCTTTCGTGATGACTGTTCCATACTCCGTACGTACTACAATACCTGGAGTGTCCCCTGGCAGGGCAATGGATGTACTGTTGACGCGTTTCGTTGGGACAACTCGCAACTATCGCTCGTCGTTATTTGCATTGGGTGCTCCAGTACCGTTCGTAAGAAGCACGGTCTAGAGCTACTGTAGCTGCTTAATTTCGTCTTGAAGCCGGAAGATGGCCACCCACGTTGAGCTCACATGCACGCTGCCAGCCGTTGCCGTGCTGCTTCCCAGCCAAGATGCGCTGGCCGACCCGGAGGGGCGAACTTAACACAGCTGCTGCCCGGACCGACGCCCTACACGCCAGTGCAACGCCATGGGCGATGCCTCTGGCCTTTGGTTCCAGGGACTAATATGTTTGGTTTTAGGGATTAAAAGGGACTAAAGGGCTGAACAGAGACTAAAATATCCTTCTTCCTTTAGATAGAGGTGAAGGAGGAGAGAGAGGAAGGGATATTGGCTGTAAAGTTAATCCATTAGTCCTAAAAAGCCTCTTTCAAGGGACTAGTGGACTAAAGACTGAAATTCCCTTTAATAGTTCTTCCTATTTGATTAAATGAGGCTAAAAGAAACTAAAAGTAGTCTGTGGTCTCGTGGAACCAAACAGGCCCTCCGTCTCGCGGAAAGAAGAGATGACAGCAGCCACCAATCAACATGATCATGTTATCATACACTGAAGGATACGGTATGGAAAATCCTATCCTACGTGTTCTGCTGCTTTCCTTGCATGCCCTCATCTAACTCTATCATGTACTCCCTCCATCCTAAATTGTAAGACGTTTGACTTTTTATCCTAAGTTTGACCACTCGTCTTATTCAAAAAATTTATGCAAATATAGTCAAATTTAAGTCATTCTTGAAGAATTTTTATTAATAAACCAAACCACGACAAAAGAAGTGATATTTTACACAAATTTTTGAATAAGACGAGTGGTCAAACTTGGTGTCAAAAAAAGTCAAACGTCCTACAATTTAGGATGAATTGAGTACTGTATTAAGTTCAGTACCAAATTAATTGTTATATTTTAATATTTGACTTCATATTGTAATAATGCAAAGGTGTGGTATTTAATTAACATTATTTCTGTACCATTGTTGCACTACAACATGAAATTTGAACTATTAAAGTACTCCCTCCGGTTCTCTAAAGCAAGTTATTTTGGACATCGACATGGTCTTTAAGAAACAACTTTGACTGCAACTTTTTGCTATAAAATATTTATAAAATATAGTCAATATATACTTTTTTGAAACTACATTTCGAGATGAATCTACTTACATCACTTTCATATTTTTAAACTCAACCCCAAAAAAGTTATTTGTAGTCAAAGTTTAAAATATTTAACTTAAGACAATCTCAAAACGACTTGCTTCAGAGAACCGGAGGGAGTACGTATTACTATTCTTGTACCAATATTTGCATGATCTCTTTGAACTATCGAATATGTATCTCCTGTTCTCCTTGCTTGATAATTCACTAAAGCTAACATGTTCGCGCCTTTTATATCCGTAGCAGATTCTGCTTGTTCTTGCTTCGTTAGTTTTGTAGTGACGTAATCTACATGTTAGTATCAATGCTCGTCCTATCATATGCTATGAATTTTATAATTTAAATATTAATTTGATTAATTTGCATGTAACTAGTTTTCTAATTTAAAAACAATATAGGTGTTACATTTTGATACTTTATATATGCAAATATTAATATGGTTTAATTACTATCACCAATGTGCTTTAAAATTATAACTTGTTTAGTTTGAAATCCACTCCATATGTAGTTCGAGTAGGTGCTCTCAAAGTCCTTTAGTTTTGCAAAGATAAGATTTGACTTACTTAAATTATACGATAATATATGTTAATCCAATGACC